GGGGTACTTTTTTGACCGAATTAATCAATCAGCCGGTCAGTAGATTCACCAATCCTCTCCTCTTGCCTCTGAGAGGATGAATCGAGAGTACTGTGACCTATTTTATTGCCTCAGTTCATGTATGTATCGTATTGTTCACGTTCTTTACATGCCATGATTCCGTTTGCACGTGTATATTACTTCAAGTCGATTGTTTTGAGCCCGAATGTCTGCCCTATCGTGTCAGTATCTGTTGTATTCCCCTATCACTCCTTCTTCCTATATATAAATATTCAGCCTGCTGGTTTTTCCCAGGCTGCCTTTTTGCTTTGGGTTATTCCGAATTTTTTCCCCCTCCTCGACTTGTCGATGACATTGATTTTTGTTTCGATATCTTTGGGAGTCTGAATAAACCGCTTTGTGTCGAAAGTAGACGTAAAACTCTTTAAGGATAACGATTGTAAGTTCTTTTTTTGTTTAGCTCTTCTGGCTGTGCTTTTATGGCGCTTTCTCTCCGTACGGTCAGAGTGGCTTTTTTATGAGAAGACGAGTCAAGTGACCGCGTACAGAGACGGCTGCCTCGTCACCGGGAATTCTAATGACTCAGCTAACGATGAGAAGGCTGGGCCATTATTGGGGTATTGAGCGCTCGTGTCCCATTGGCACACTCCTCTCTCCTTCTCGGGGACGCACGCGCGCTCTCACCTGCCCTTCCCTCACCATGTGTGCTGGGCCAGCGATTTTGCTTCTTCCGCCTTCCTTCCTGTGTGATATTTGCGAGAGGAGTTTGAGTCGCGTTCAAAGGCTGTTATCGTTTTCAGGTGAACGAGTTTTGCCGTTTCTTAACGTTTCTTTGAGGCCGGATCCTGCGTTTTCGTATGCTTGAACTGTGTAGAACTGTCCTCCTGGTTGCACTATTTTAAACTCACTATTTAGCTGACCGTCTTAGAAATGTGTGTTGCTCTTTCAGGAGTGTATATTTTTCCGACTCATATACCATAACTTTAATGCCCAAGAGGTGAGTGAACTAACTTTATATAGGAAAGAAGGATAATATATATCTTTGACTTACAAAGTAAATAAGCCTTAAGTTTAAGTTTACAGTTTTGGATCAAGATTGACGGTTAGTACAATGCCATCTTTTGTTACTAGTTTGCAGAGTGGGGTGTAGTAACGATATCGAAATTTGATCAGCATTTGGTGAATACCTTATCTCTTAAAAATGTGTTCTCTGATTCAGTTGTCATTCGCTCTCAGTCACGATGTTTTAGGTACCAATAAATTGGGCTTATGGAATTTGTGAAGACTTTCGTGATCGAATCAGGACGTAGTTCGAAGCAACAGGTCTGTGTAAATCATCGTGTCAAGCTGTGAACTGCTCTCTCTCTCTCTCTCTCTCTCTCTCTCTCTCTCTCTCTCTCTCTCTGTGCTCTATCTCTCACTTTCTCTGCTCTAGCTACTGATCGATTTCAGATATCACGAAAGTTGTTGAAAGGATATTTGCACCTTCTGTCGTGCAACTTGTGTCGCAGTGAATAATTCATGCGCGGGGATTCCCCCATTCTCCCCATATCGACCCGCGCTATGAAATGTGGGACGTGCCGCGAACGACCCGTCACGCTTGTCTCGTGTGTGTCTGTGTGCCCAACGTAGAACCAATGTTAAGCCCGTCCCTTTAATCTTTGCTTATCTTGCGGTGATTTCAGCACGTTTTCAGTGAATCATTCCGGGAATATGAAAAAGATTCGAGGATACGTGTTCCGTTGTGCGTTTATTTTTGTTTGAATTCAATGTTTCAGAATCAGTATTCTTGCTACTGGTGCACTCGAAAGGAAAATTCAAACCACAGCTGTGAGTGTGTTTTGATGATTTTCGGCTTAACTTTCTTTCTAGTGGATACTCTATTCATCCTGTCTCTGGTCCATCGTGTGACTTTTGAGCATTCGTTTTCCGGAATCAAATGCTAGAAGAAGCTGAAGGAGAAAGTTGGTGTGTGTGAAACTCATTGTTGTCCCATTTGTAGAACGCGAGGGCATTGCCTTTTCTGTTGTGGTTTAAGTATAAAAAAAAAGTAAATAGCTTTCTTCGATATTTATACAATCGTTTGTGATTTTCAACGTGCATTGAGCATTGACCATTAAAAATTCTCATTTGGAATGCACGTATTTCTTGATCACATGATTGCACTTTCTTTGTAATAAATACTTGGTAAGAACGAAAAAGGAAGATCTTGTAGAACAGATAGCGCATTCGTCAGAGTGACTCTGTTACGGTGACCTTTTACTGTGACGTGGGCTGTGTTGTGGCAGGGCCTTGAGCAAGCATGATCCGGCGCGCCAACAGTTGGCGTGAGCTGGGTGGTGGTGGGGAGGCCAGCAGTTTTGGCGTGCCCCTCTCCCCTACGTGGAATGGCGTAGGATACCACCCAGAGCCTCCATCGTCTGGCTACAGAGAAACTGGGTAAGTCTTCGGAGAATGTTTGAAAGGGACAACTATTAATGGACTGTCTTAAACATTGCTATTAAGTCCCCCAAAAATGTCGGTACTTATGTCGTGTTGTGTTCATCCCAGAGGGTAATTCGTGGGCCCTATCAACATTTTTACGTTATTTAAGAGGCGGGACCTCCGAGTTCAACGTCCTTCACCGAAAAACCGAGCCAAATAGGAAATGTGTGTAAAGTACCTTTCCCAAGGACACAGGTCGAACGAAACTGAAGCTCAAACGAAACTGAAGCTCGAACCCTCGATCCCGCAATTTCACGATTACGGGTCCGGTAGCCTAACCACTAGGCTACTGGCGCCAGTGAAAGGAACAATAATAAACTGTCCAGAAATTTGCTATCAACACAAAGGAAAACTTTGATACTGATTTTTGTGTTTTGTCCGCTCTAGAGGGTAATTCGCGGGCTGTCGGGTGCAGTTTCTTTCTCATATATATTCTTTACTCTTGTACTGTACTATTATCCTATTGTGGTGAAGGTGAATTGTAGCCGTTACCATTCCGAATCTTCTTCTTCTTTACCCTAGTACTGTACAAGTATCCTATTCTTTTCCTTTCGAAATGCAGCTGTTACCATTCCGACTCCCCTTACCCTGTACGCCCAAAGTGTCGACACCCCCCCCCCCCCTCGACCCCAAACGAGGTGGGGTAGTTATTGGAATCTTTTTCAGTCTAACAGGACAGGAGGTGTCACTTCTTCCCTGGTGAAATCTCTCA